CAAGTCAAGGGTCAATCGTTATGTATCCTCTTTAACTTTACAATCTTTATTTCCTATCACATTTTCTTCAATTCTTTTCGCACACTTCATTCATCATTCCGTCCTGGGTATGACAATAAACTACATTCGCGTCCTGAGTATGATGACAAACGACATACGCGTCCAGGGTAAGACGATAAACTACGTCCAACAGCAAGGCCTCTGATCAGGAGGCTTTGAGAAGCGTGGAATCACCTCTTAATTGCTGTTGTTCCCAGGTCCACCATGACCCGGAGTGGTAGCATCTGTTAGGGTCCCAGCAATGGGCAAATAGTTAACTCCGAAACTGAGGTAAAAAGCATTATAAAAGTGTAAAAATAGGTTTTAATACCAGAAATACTTTGTAAAAAATTATTACCAGAAATAAATTTTTGAAGAAAAAAAAATTACCAGCAATACGTTTTTGAAAAAATATTACCAGCCATACGTTTTTGAAAAAATAATATTACCAGCTATACGTTTTTGAGGAAAAAAATATTAACAGAAATAGATTTTTGATAAAACAAAAATATCACCAGGAAAAAAAAGAGTTGTCGGCATTAAATGACGCATTGAGGTTGATATACCGTAAATCAAAACAAACCAAACCAAATCATTATGAAATCATTATGATTTCAACAGTATATTTCTACCTTGAGTGACTCTCGAGCTATGTATTAGGTTAAATCTGTTATTAAAAAAATCCTCTGGCAACAAAAATAAATAATCGAGTCAGGAAAGACGAGAGACATGCTTTTTGTGAGGTTATTTATTCTAAATCAATCGTTCTCATCCTCCGTGTGTTGCGCAAACCTCTTAAGGGTGACGTGAAATATTGGTCTGCTTATCGCACATTCGACCAAACATGGGAGAAATCGCGAAAAAACACCAGGTTCAAGTGCACAAATAGTTAAATAGAAACAAGTTCTTATTTCTGTGTGTATTTTTAAAAATCTTGACGATTGTGTATTTTTTTTTAATCTCTAGGTTTTTATTTCATAACATTTAAATGTATACCTTTTTTAAAAATTGCGCTGTGATATTTTCATTTGTTCCTACGTGTGCTCTTGCTTAAACAGGTTGAGAAACACTATTCTAAATGAATATAATTACCCCTCCCCCGGGAATGCAATTTGCTTCGTCAGTTCCATCTAATTTCCTAATAACCATTCCGACTACTTATATATTCTATATCTTTAAAATAGACGTATGTTTGTGTGTCTGTCTTTCTTTGTCTGTGTGCGTATGCTATTTATGCATGTCCACATTTCTCGACCGAATTCGATGAAATTATACACACAATTTTCAAATTGGCTAAATTAAATAAAAAACAACTTTTCAATCTCCATCCCCCCCGGAGTTGGGGGGGGGGGGAGAAAAATCGTTAAAACTGAGGGTGGGTACGACTTTTTTTCAAAAACCAAAGCAAAGTTACACGCGAACAAAAATTTTACTGGGTGCGATGATGTTCTTTGCATTTAATTCAAAACAAAGCTCATGTTACGAGGTTTATGGAGAGTGTTTGATAGATTTCTGTCGACACAATAAAATGCAAAAACCCGTGAATGAAATCGTGTTGTTCGTACTACTTAATATACAAACTTAAATAACTTCCTCATTTTTATCCGATTTTTTTCAAACATGTCACAAAAAAATTCGCCATCATGCTGGAAATAAGTCCTGTTCGCATCCCCGCGTATAATGAAAAACCAAGAAAAACTGTTTTAAAAAAACGTTTTCCGGCTATAACTCCCTGATTTTTATCCGATGCTTTACAAATGTGTCATGTAAAATAGATATGACACACAAATTTTCTTGTGTCAATGTTTGGTTTAGATTATTTCAGATAAGTTGACGAAATCTGTAACAAACTTGTTCCAAAATCGGCTTTTTCCATTTAGCCAATAGTGTCTTCATATGATGCCATCCTAAATTGGCATTCGACCAATCTTTCATGCAAAGATTGTTTGAGAAGGATTATTGAAGCGCTAAAAGGGAAAAATTCCCGAGAATTATTAACCCCAGCTTTACAGTAAACTGGTGAACTATTGACCATGTTCACCATAGTCTATGAATATAGAATTCAGAGCAGTATGTAATCTGTTCAATGAAACAACGTTAAAGATTAACACTCACGAGTCAGGCACTCTACTGAATCTGACTATATCGCCAATACCCCCAGCAGCTCTTCCGTTATTCTTCAGTCTTCGATATAAAGGCTGGCAGTGCATATTCGGGAAAAACATGGCTGCCTTTATACACGTCGCATTGAAAATTTTGAGCCTTCTGATTGGTTAACCCTTCCATTGGTGAACTATAAAATGAGTCAACTCATTTTGGCTGGCTCACGAGTACACCAGGGTACCCAAAAATTCCAACACGAAGAAGGAGTGAGGAGTGTTCATGCGTTTGCATTTGCAGTTGAATCAAGCTCTGACGTTTCGTCTCTGTTTTTGTTTGATTATTAGGTTTGTGAACAACGCTATACTATTTGAAAGTTATTACGGCCATAGGAAATTTACTGAATATCTAAAACATTGAAACAATTCAAGCCCGAACAATCACCACACAAGAAGATTTTATCTATGGAATCCCTTTATTAAGAACAATCGAACACTTGCGATGGACATACCCTAAAAAAGATGAGTGGGGAGTAGCTTAGTATTGCAACGGGTGATGCATGCGAAGGGGGAACGCAGGAAGACATTTCTAGACTGTAGGTACGTGCATACAAGGGTGCGGTTATACAATTGCAACCATGTACACCCGTGAAACGCCGGGTACCTCGGCTAGTTATGCGATAAAATGATGTATTTTTGTTCAAAAGAATAGGATTTTTATTGCAGCTTGTACATTTTGCCAAAAGATAAAATCCTTGTGTTTTAGTAGTGTTTAGTAGAAACAGTCTTGTTGCTGCACATAAATCTATACCAAGTAGGTATTACAAGACTAGCTATAACTTTCTTAATTATTCAATCACAAAGGTATTTAGATGGCGATAAAAGCTATTGATGTCCGTAAGCCAAATTTATTATTTCGATACTGACATCTGTAACGTACATAGACCGGTTGATCACCTCGACAGACCAAAATGGCATCATGATATTAAAATATTCTACTCAAAGGGAATTATGCTCAGAGCAATTCTTAAATTTTACATAAAGATTATTTAGTCTAGAGAGAAAGGACAAAATCTGTCTCCAGATAGTTGAATACGCCCCCCCCCTACCCAACAAAAAAAGGACAATAATAATTCAGAGAACAGACATCTCCTCAGCGTGTACTATTTTTGCCGGAAGACCCAACAGTTACGATTGAAAAGCAAGGTGTGTTTTGACATCAGGCGATACGCTTCGTTAAGAACACTTTCGTACCTGTGGGGCGAAAATGGCTGTACATCGTGATAAGTAAACGAGGACTTTATTTTTGTGCTGTTTTAATATTTCCTCCAATTTTGTTATGACTAAAAAGAACAAAATCCAAAAAGACACCATTGTACAAGAAATGCGCCTTAAATCAAACTTCAGTCATAAGATTTTCATAATTACATTTTAGGTAAGTGTTATGGGACCTTACCCATAATAACATAATGGACTATTCCATACGTAATAAATACTGCGCCTCAAGAGGAAGCAGTGAATTCCGTCTGAAATCTAAAGTTCCATCTGAAGTCTAGAGTTCAGTCTGAAGTCTGGAGTGAGGTCCGTCAGGAGTCTGTCAGTCAGTCAGAGCGAGCGAGTCAGTTAGTCGAGTCAGAGGCAGTCCGAAACAGAGTCGCGTTCAGACTACTGAACCTGATTTTCGTACTAACACTTTCTACCTCTCTGTATATATTCCTGTTTGTAATATATCTGTGTCATTCCATATCCGTATACGAGTTCTTCTTTATTGGTTCTGCCTTGGACTATCACCGTGGTACAAGGAACCGGACCATAACAGTAAGCTATACTCAAAGCGCGACACCGAAATCCGAAGGCGCATTGGGGTAGCAAAAGATGCCTTCCAAAAGCTAAAAAAAATATCAAGAAATAGAAAAATTTGTTAGAAATAAAGAAAAGACCGTTAAATTGTTATCAGTCTTCATATATGACAGGGCAAGTTGGACAATCTCCTCATGGATGAAGAAAAAACTTCCAGCAACCGTAACGGCGATTTTCTAAACGTAGCTTAGATGTGGTACAAGGTCGAAAATATGGAGCACCTAACCGTAATGTGGTTCTAAAGAAAGATGTTAATAGTACTATGGACGGAAAATGTGAGCAATGACGAAGTTTTCGAGGAAACGTAAACAAAAATACACTTACACTTAACATCATGAACAGACAGTTAAACTTTCTAGAACACATAATGAGGAAAGAGGGCTTGGAAAATCTGATACTCACAGGACAGACTAGAGGCAAGAGTGATAGATGAAAACGACGCATAACCTATCTAGTGAGATTAAGTAAACAGATAGCGGAATAATACGTAGAAAAATAACCAAAGGACAAAAGGATAGGATATTGCTGATTGAATGATTCGTTTACTAACGCTTATCAGGCCGTTGCAGTTCATTCAAAACCAGGAAATAATTTTAGATTGTAAGAATTGGGGTAGATAATACCGGTTATGTGCTACAATTCTTACTAATTAACCCCTAGCTGAGGAGACGGGGTGGATTCATACCTTTACCAAGGTTATTAGCGCGTTCATCCCACAGCGCCAGTTCTGCTTACCAAAAGTGGTCCACTTGGCACTGGCATTCGTTTCAGCCGCCGAATATAATAATATAACTGAATATAACGAACGCAAAGCGGAATTGGAACTCGGCTCTCCAAATAACAGTTCCGAGCCATCTCCATTACACCATCCGCACATCCAAGCTTGCATCACCTGGTATTCACAAGCGGTCACCTATTAAGTTACTGACCAGGCTGGCTCGGCTTTGCTTAACTTCGGAGATCTTTACGGGATCCGGCGTTTTCAACGTGGTGCGGCCGTAAGTCATTGGAAATTGTGGAGAGCCATAATTGCCAACCTCCTTAAGGGACACCAAACATAGGAGAAGAATATTATAGAATTGATGTAAGCACCCACAAATAGAATCCGTTTTCTTCCGTGCCTAACTTTTCTTTCTCTCTCTCTCTCTCTCTCTCTAAATATATATATATATATATATATATATATATATATATATATATATATTTCGTACCCCCCACTGTCTATGGCTTCTGTCACTCTATTTATCTCTATCTCTTTTGCTATTAGGTCATAAATAATTCCGCATTTGTTTATCAAATTCTTTTTTTTTTTCAAAATTTAATTGAAACTATAACTTATACAATTATATGTTCACAGTTATTTGCAATGAATTGTTGCTACTTATCAGGCAGCTAACGGGTATCTTTCATTTACCTGATGGCGCAGGTTTGAAGCGTTAACAGTTAAATGAACAGTTAAACCTATGGTCCCAATTAAATAATTACAATTTAATCATGAAGTAATATCAATCTCTTTAATTAATTTTCATATTGAGATTTCGGCATTAAATATCCCACAGAGGTGTTGATATGCCGCTCAAACAAAAACAAACCAAACCTGAATGTACTTATATAGCACCGAATACATAAATATTACAAGGTAAACAACATGAGAAAACTATTTAAAATTACTGAAAAACATCAAAATAATATCCTGCCTTAAAGAAATAGGTTTATACCAAAACATATAACACCTACAATAGATCATCTACAAACTATATATCTATAAACCATACGTTTACTTTGAAACTATAAAACGGTGTACCAGACGCTATAAAATTACGTTCAGAATATATAGATTTCGGCAATAAATGGCACATAGCGTTTAATATGTCTCTAAACAAAAGTAACTAAATCATATATAATGGTTAACCTGCAAGGAGAAGTGGTGAAGATTAAAGTGACCCAGAAAGGATTTTCAGAAGTTTTTTTTCATAAGCAGCCATTTTTTCAAAGAGGTGTCATATGATTTGACAAAAATCAATTTTTCTCTCTAAGTAGTTCTTTCTAAGAACTAAATTCTTTCTAAGCACTAAGTTGAAATGATGATCCCTATTCCTCTTGTGACCAATTGATTCAGATTTCCTGTCTACTGTTCGCTCTTTTTTAAATTTGTTCTCCGTCCTATTGATGGTTCTTAAAGGGGCTTTAAAGATGAAAGCCAGAGTATGAATGTTGGTACCATTACTGAAAAAGGTATGAATGATCTTTTTCCTCCCACCATTGCTCAGTTCGGATGGCATAGCGGGGTTGACAAAAAACGATTTTAACCTATTCTCTGTTTAGCTGAATAAGGGTTTTACAGTGATTCTTATGACAAATAGTGACAAGATGGCTAAATGTCTTATCTGAAAACCTTGAAAAAAGAAACTCAGTTTAATGGTTTTGTAGAAATTAAGCATTTTATGGGATAAAAATTATCTCATGCTGTTACGCGATTTGGAGAATTTTGCCGTTACACCCACCCAGTATACATATATATATATATATATATATATATTTTAGTTGGATAGATGTGAGTTTGCGACCCTGGGTTTCACACTTTAGCGATCGTCAGACAATTTGTCTGACGATCGCTAAAGCGTGAAACCCAGAGTCACAAACTCACATCTATCAACCAAATATGTTAGCTCTATTTCTGATATTGAGCGCTTTCTAATAAGTACCATATAATATATAAATAATTATAGATATATATTTCACATATATTTTTCATATATATATATACATATATATATATATATATATATATATATATATAAACAGAGCATCTATTCAAATACGAGTATCCTTTCTAACATTTAAACTAATTTAAAAAAATTTGTCGAATATAATCTATTTCCTAATACACACAGACAGACAGACAGACAGACAGACACACACACACACACACACACACACACACACACACACACATATATATATATATATATATATATATATATATATATATATATATATATATATATATATATATACAAGGGGTCATTTTAACCTATCCTCAGGCGATGATTTATCAAATCACCGCATTACCTTTTTTTAAACTAAATAACGCTATATTATTATTATGACGACGAGCTATGTAAAGACGAAAGCATTAGAAAAAAGAAGTTAGAGAAGGAAATTAAAGGACTCAATGCGGGAGGAGTAAATTAAGATTTTTTCCCTAGCCTCATATGCCCTTAAGAAAACTTTTCTGATATGTAAGCATCTATATATATATATATATATATTCATATGTAAGCATATATATATATATATATATATATATATATATATATATATATATATATATATATATAAAAAATATGAAACTGGACATTATTAAGTTTCTAAATAATAAAAATCTATTAAACAATAAACAAGAATTAACTGTTTTTGCCGACATCATCAAATTTATGCACTGAATAATTAGCTGAAAACAAGCATACAATTTAATATCTTTTATCATCCATAGCCCAAATATATAGTTTAAATACCCTACAAAAAAAGATAACCCCTATGAAGTCGTCAAAAAACAAATGTTACGGCAGTTTTTATATGCACAAATCCCTTTCATAAAGTAATTAAATAAAAATTATATAAAAAAAAAAAAAAAAAATAATTAAAAAAATAAATAAATCTCCATAGACACGTAAACCAGACTAGGCGAAAACATCTTCCGTTTCAAATTTAGTTGGTTTCAGTTTCGAGAGTGAAGTTTATTGTAGGTTCAATGTTGTAATTTAAGCATTTAAGCAAATTAGTCCATCACACATAAAAAATTCAGGCGACCTCTTAAACAAGCTAAAAAACATAGACATTGAAAACAAATATATGACTAGTTTAGATATACAATCTCTTTATACAAACGTCCCATAGATAAATGCTTAAATTTACTTAAAAAAACACCTAACAAATGCAAAAATCCAATTACCTATATCTACACAAAATTATAAACTGTGCCAACTAATTACCAAGCTTCTTTACTTTTAATAACCAACATTACAGACAGAAATTTGGTTTTGCCAATGGGATCTCCTCTCAGCGGCGTTCTTGCATGCCTATTTTTAGAATTTCTAGAAAGTGACTCATTCAAAAAATATTCTCCCTACAAACTCTTCATATTTCAGATACATAGACGACTCGTTATTAATAATTCCAAAAACACCAATTTAACGGATCTTCTCTCCAAACTTAACAACATTGAACCTACAATAAACTTCACTCTCGAAACTGAAACCAACTACACTCTTCCGTTCCTGGACATTTTGTTAACTAGAAATAACAACGAAATCAATTTTGACGTTTACAGAAAGGCTACAAACAAAAATGATCTCATCAGCTTCTACTCAAACCACCCTTCAAAAATTAAATCTGGAATTATTATAGGTTTCTATCTAAGAGCATTAAGAATCTGTAGTCCTCAATATTTATTTAAAGAAGAAACATACATAGAAAAACACATTCAAAAACCTACAAACACCCATATCATTTCATCCACAATGCAAGAAGAAAGGCATACAAAATATACAAACGAAACAAAAACTAATAACACAATCCGCAATAGTAAATCACATGAAAACAGATACATAATACTACCGACCAATTCTGCCACGTCCACGATCCAGAATAACCTATCCCATCTAAATAATCTTGAAATAGTCACAAACACTTCCAAAACCATTATAGATATACTAAGATCTTCAAACAATAATAACACTAATATTTCTGAAGCAGGCATTTATAAAATAAATTGCCAAAACTGCTCCTCCCAATATATTGGAGAAACAAGTAGAAGTTTGAAAAAACGCATTTATGAGCAAAAAGAGACCTCACAAAAAACAACTTAGCTAATGCAATAGTCATACATAGAAATAAATACAACCATAATTTTTGATTTTAAAAATGCTACACTCATAAAAAAGAAAAATAACTCACTCAGAAGGAAAATTCTGGAGAGTGCCGCCATAGAAAAGTATCCAAATATTAATTTACGCCCAGGCTTTTTCCCTATTTCACCTTTCTTAACAAAATTAATACTCTTACAAACAAATATGCACAACAGATTCATAAAATCGAAAGAAAATGGCTGAATACATCAACACAGATATAATGAAAATATTCTCCACACGTAACAATCTCTGACGTTATTTTTCAATTAAAAATATGAAAATAGCGTTTCTCTACATTCCAGTTGCTAGGTACATTCTGTTTTTTTGTTTTATTAGTTACTTTGTTCATTTAATTTCATTTTCGTATTTTGCTTTGATAAAGTCCACATTGGACGAAACGCGTCAGCAATTACCAGTTTTCCTATTGTCATTTTTTTATTCATATATATATATATATATATATATATATATATAATCCGATAATCCGATATATATATATATATATATATATATATATATATATATATAATGATAATCCGACAATTATTTTAAGACATTTTATGTTTATACATTCTTTTTATAGATACAAATATTTAAGTAAATGCTCTGTTTATAATAAACAGCATTAAACAACATTTACCGACCTGAATATCCGAGAAATTTTCATAGAAAATTTTCGTCCTCCGACAGGATTCGAACCTGTATCCTATACGGAACCGTCATATAGCCTGACGTTCCTTTTAACCGATTCGACTTAGCAAGGTCGAATTTACTACTTTTAAACTTCAATCATCCATGAATCTCTCACGTACATTCATATCTGCTCATGGCGTATCAAATGTAAACAAATGACGTCATACATTATGAAATGGACAAAGTCCGACAATTATTTTAAGACATTTTATGTTTATACATTATTTTTATAGATAAAAATATTTAAGTAAATGTCCTGTTTATAATAAACAGTATTAAACAACATTTACCGGCTATATGACGGTTCCGTATAAGGTACAGGTTCGAATCTTGTCGGAGGACGAATACTTTCTATGAAAATTTCTCGTACATTCAGTCCGGTAAACGTTGTTTATT